AATCGTCCCATTCATGAGTCCTGGAAAGTCAGCGTGCACACGGATCCATGGAGAGGTTGGTTTTGGCCAGGATTATAGTTCGCCTTTGACGGGATTCTTCGCCACTAAAGCGCATTTGCTACAATTCCTGACAAGTTGTTCGATGTCGGTATCCAGTGTTGGCCAGTAGACGTAGCTTCGTGCTAACATCTTCATCCTTGTCTGTCCCGGATGAGCCTTGTGTAGTGTCGTAAGAACACGGCGTTGTAGTGATCTGGTATCACTATGCGAGATGCGGTGAGTAGGCAACCGTCGACGGTGGTAAGAGTATCTCGGCGGTTGTAGTAGCGCCAGAAAGGAGAGTTGCGATTGATCGTGGGTCCATTTCCAGACATAATGTAGTCGATGATCTTCTCTATGACCTGATCAGCTCTTGCAGCAGTCCGGATTGTTTCGGCAAAGACCAGAAGGTGACGACAGTTTTCGATGAGCTCTGCGGTCACATCAACAACTACGTTGGCGAAAGTCCCCCGGCGTTGATGAGTGCGACGCTATGAGACGTGAAAGAGCGTTCACTTGTCCGAAATCCTTTGTGTTGACATACTCGATGACGAAGTGTAGTTTAGTAACATTGTGGCCCATCGCTGAAGACGGTTGGCACTGCAGACAGGCATTCCTTTCTTACTTCCGAAATAGCAACGAGTGGCTTATGATCGGTCTTCAGCGTGAAGTGACGTCCGTGGACAAAGCGATGAAATTTCTGCACAGCGAATATGAGAGCTACAGCTTCCTTCTCGATCTGGCTGTAGTTTTTCTGTGCTGGAGTAAGGCAGCGGCTGGCGTGGTATACGACCTTCTCCGATCCGTTTTGGAATCGATGTAATAGTATTGCTTCAATTCCGTCGTTAGAAGCGTCGGCGGCCACTATGATTGGAAGATTCGGATCGAAATGAGTCAGCAACAAATCCGAGCTGAGTGTTGCCTTTATTTTGTCGAAGGAAGACTGGCACTCCGGTGTCCACGTGTAGACAGCATACTCCTTCGTAAGGGCGTCTAACGGACCGCGTAGATTGTGTAGATCTTTGACGAAGGTTCCGTAGAAATTGATAAGTCCGAGGAAAGCGCGTAAATGACTTAGTCTTTTGGAGCTGGCATCTTTTGTATGGCTTTGATCTTGTCGGGGTCAGGGCGTCGTCCTTGCGCGTTGATGACGAAGCCGAGGTAGTTGATCTCTGTCTGTAAAAAGTGCATTACTCGAGACGGACACGGAATCCGTAGTCCTGGATTCGGTGGAGCACAGCGTCTAGTCGAGAGTTGTGTTCGTCGATGGTCTTGCCAGTGAACAGTATGTCGTCGAGGTAGGCGGCAGTTCTATCTAATCCGGCGATGAGATCGTCGATACATTGCTGGAAGATGCGGGAGCAGGTTTCACTCCAAATGGTAGGCGATTGAAGCGAAAGAGTCTTCGGTGCGTATTGATCGTCAGCAGCTGTTTTGAATCATCGTCCACTTCAATTGCAGGTACGCTCCGGCAAGGTCGAGTTGTGAAAAGTAGCGTCCTCCGTTGAGTTTCGTGAAAATGTCATCTGGAGTTGGAAGTGGGTGTTGGTGCTGTTCAAGTGCGTCGTTCAGTCCTGTCGAGTAGTCTGCGCAGAGTCGTTGAACCATTTTTCTTCTGAACGGCGACGATTGGAGCGGCCCATGAGTGGTCAAGGCGGTCGATTTCGGTCGAAATCTTCTGAACAGCGGCATATGGAACAGGGCGAGCCTTCTAAAAAACAGGCTTGGCCTTAGGTTTCAGAGTGAGCTTGACCTTCGACTTAGTGCAATGTCCTAATCCAGGCGTGAAGACAGTAGGAAACTTCTTCTTCAGGCGCGTAGTGAGTGGCGAGTTCAATGCCTTGAACGTCGATGAGGACACATTGAAGATAGAGCCCTCGGTTAGGCGTCGAAACAGAGGCTCATGCTGGATAATCCAGTAGAGACCAAGTAGTGATGGTGTGTCGGCAACGTAACACTTACCCCGTCCGCGATGACCATCAATGACGAAATTGCACTCGTAGCATCCTCGAACATTGATCGGCTTGTCATTGGCAGACTTCAGTGCGA